TCGTCACACACTGTACACAGAGCTTTACCGGCGACATCGAGCTTTTTCACGAAATCCGACACAATCACAATGGTTCCTCTTTACTGTTTCCTACTGGGGACACCCTTAGCTTTCTATCCAACCAGTCCCATCGAAACGTGTTTTTCAGATCCGCATCTATCTGACGCACTTTAGCTTCGCCGCGAGTCTCGATAACTTTCGGCATTCGCGAGAAAGGGGTTTAGGAAGGCGAACACGGATTGGTTGTGATTTGCATTTGCCGATATAGCGACCAATCACAACAAGTAAGACATTGGTTTTCGCCCGTATAGGAAGTAACGACAAACTAACGCTTCGCGATAAAAAACGGGATTCAAAATGGATGCTTGCAAACGTTACTTGTAAACATTACGAGCCCCAAATCTGCCGAAGACAAGTCCGGTACCAGATTTTTTTACGGATTTGGAACAATATAAAATAGGTCAATTTTGACTGGAAAAAAGCGGAATTCCGCCAAAACGCGGAAAAATCTCATCCCTGCAAAGTGTATGATGTTGGGCCTTATCCTTGGGATGTTGTGTGTGGAAATACTTGAAGCATTGATAGAAGAGTTTTGGTAGAAGTCATATGTTTTTAATGCTAAAATTTAGTTATCTTGTATTATTTTTTTCTATTCATTCTTACTGTTTAAAAACAGTACAGTGCATTAGTTCTTGATTAAGATGTTAAACAACAGTTATCTGCTTTCCTGCACTGATTTGTTTTGTTTTAGGTGCTCTCTCTCTCTGTCTCTCTCTCTCTCTCTCACACACACTCACACACACACACACACACACACACACACACACACACTGGCTATACACACACCTCAAAAACTGTGTTTTGAAACTGACTTTCCGAATAATTTCAAAATGGAACAAAGCTAACGTTCTCAACTTTTACTTGATAGATTATTCATTCATTCATCTTCCGAACCGCTCTATCCTCACTAGGGTCATGGGGGGTGCTGGAGCCTATCCCAGCCGTCTTCGGGCAGTAGGCGTGGGACACCCGAATTGGTTGCCAGCCAATCGCAGGGCACACAGAGACGAACAACCATGCACGCCCACACTCACACCTCGGGACAATTTAGAGTGATCAATCAGCCTGCCATGCATGTTTTTGGAACGTGGGAGGAAACCGGAGTACCCGGAGAAAACCCACGCAGGCCCGGGGAGAACATGCAAACTCCACACAGGGAGGCCGGAGCTGGAATTGAACCCGGTACCTCTGCACTGTGAAGTCGACGTGCTAACCACTGGACTACCGGGCCGTCAACTTGATAGATTAAAAAAAAAAAAAAAAAAAAAATCAGACCTTATCAGTGGTTAGTTATTAACATGAAAATTTCACCTTCACAACAAAGGCTATACAGTAGTTGGGAAATACAGAAAAAAAAATAGTACACTTAAGCCCACGTCAGATTACACGAATGTAGCCCGATTTTGAGCCAACAGAGGTGTCGTGGACAAACGTAGTGTCTCGGCGCCCGTTTGGAGTTGTCTTGACCTGTCGTAGCCCGGGCAGTGTGACATCCTCAACGACATACTCTGCGGCGATGAATGTCAGATGCTGATGAGCAAATGCGGTGTCACCTCAAGTTCATTTTGGAGAATAGACCATACCGCCCTCTCCCCACCATTCAGGAATGGCTCCATACTCCCTTTCTTTTTTTTCTTTTTTTTTGTTTGCCTTTTCTGCATATACAGTGGTGACATTGCACATGCATATCATGCCTCTGTCGACATGATGTTTTCGCAGCTGCTTGTCCCTCCACCCCGACAGATCTGCGCCCACCGATGGACCAAATCTTGATGGAAGCACACGACGAGTGAGCAGGGTCTGGTCAGTGACAGACTTGTCGTGTGGCATCTTGTCCGGTCCAAGATACAGGACAATATTTATCTGGCAGTCTAACCGCCTGACCATCGTCAACGACAAATAAATTGTGTAGTTTGAGAAGGCCATTTTATACAGCGTCAAGATTAGAAATGTGCGTGCAGAGGTGAGTCTCACCTTTCCTGTCAAGAATTTAGGGACCATCCTTAAGATTAAAGAAGCCCAGAAGACATGAAGACCTTGCAGCACCATTAAGAGGATGTTGAAAAAGTAATAGCCAGCAAAGGGTTGGCAATTCTCCATGGAAAGTACCAGGGTTGTGTGCATGATCCTGGAAAATGACCACAGAACACAAGTTCAGATCCACGTGTGATGTCGTTCACGTGGCCGAGAAAAAGACGACAAATGAAAAAAAAAAACTTACTTGCTAGGAAAAATTACCAATCGAGTCAAAAAGAATACTGAAGCAAAAACCACAAAGAGTATGTCACATGCTTTCTTCCAGCCAGAGCCATAATTAAACATCTTGGCAGACTGCAAAGACATCAAGAGGCACAGGATTATTTAAATGTCCTCAGCAAGGTCAAATGAAAGAATTTCCTCACATTTCCTCATGCGCCCCAATTAGTCACCTGTCGCTTAGATACAAAGAGAAAACAGATGAATCCCTTTTCCCATCAGGAAAAAAAGAAAATCCAGTATCTCTGTGGTTGGACCTTTAACACATTTAAAAGTTACTACAGTGAAGCCCACTGCCCATTGCGGTTAGCCATTCACAAATTCACTAATTCGTGTATTTTTTTCTTTTTTCTGAAGGCGACCCACTGAAAAAGTCAACCTTTTGCATATTCCCGTGCGCTCTGACAATGCCACAAGATGATGCCAAAACGCTGCCTTGTAGAAAAGTAGCCATTGGTGTCAAGGAAGTATGTTGAAACAATATACAATATTGCGAATGTTGGAGGACTATTTATGAAGGGGAGGAGCTTAGAGTAGCCTGGGTTGTTCATGGAACTTAGTCTTGTGTGGCCTACACCAGGGGTCCCCAACCGCCGGTCCGCGGACCGGTACCGGGCCGCACAGAAAGAACTTGCCTTAATTCCGTTTTGTTTATTTCGGAAGACGAAAGATGTTTTATTTTGAAAAATTACCGGATTCTCCGTTATATCCGTCTGTGTCACGCTTGACACACGTCAAGCCACGCTTCTCCGTCACGTGAGCGATTACGCTAAAAACAAAACGCCAGAGCTCGCAAAATGAGTAATAAAACTGCTGGAGAGCGCAAATGACGGCGGCCTTAAAAGTACGCTCGAGACAACTGGATTAAAGTTATGGCTGAATATTCTGAGATCGCCACAGTAGCACTGTTGCTATTTCCGACATGCTACCTGTGTGAGGAGGGGGTTTTCTGCAGCAACGGCGACTAAAACAAAATTACGAAGTAGACTGGACACACTTGAGGTGTCATTGTCTCCTATTACCCCGAGATGGGACCGTCTGGTTGCAGAAAATCAAGCTCGGGGCTGTGGTGAGTCGTCATTTTCATGCACTTTGAATTTGCGTTGTATCGTATTTTGAAGGCATTAAACATTGCCAGAGCGATCAGAGTGTTGCGGCCAGATTAGACGCTCGTTGTGTTTATTATTATATTTCGAAAACACCACAGTTTTCATGCAGCTCATACCATATTATTTTGTTGTATTATTTCCGCCACACCTTAAATGCCGGTCCCTGAAAATATTGTCTGACATAAACCGGTCCGTGGGGCAAAAAACGTTGGTGACCCCTGGCCTACACGACCAGTTCTGGTGCATTTTTTTTTTTTAAATCAATCATCTGTGAGTCATTATTTTAAGGGTAATGTTGTAAAATGAGTTTAAAATGATATTAAATGGTTAGAGAGAAGGAATCATATCATCAAAAAAATAGGTCTTACCTCGAGTAAGATATCAGCTGAGTCATGAAGGAGCATGACCAAAGTGCCAATGCGAATGTAGTTGGCACAATATGAGAAACTGAGCAGGAACACGGTGGCCAAATGGTGAATCACTTGTTCTTTGAAATCCTACACAAGAAAGTAGATTTCATTCAAAGACCTAATCACGTATGAAAGAAAACGGTCACATTTGAGTCAATTATACTGAGGGCATCACCTTCCTCTTGATGTCAACTGAGATCCGGAGCAGAAGGGAACCATAAAAGCCAAGCTCCAGCATGTAGTACCAGAAATGACGACTTTGCATGGGCTGTGGAAGATTCAAGGACATTATTGACACTGGTTGTGTACCCATTGGACAATTGATTAGGAACAACGGCACAGGATGAAGTGGAATGAAAGTCAGTGCTGGACCACCGGCTGTCTAGAACGCTATTGGAAGTGCCGACCTACATTTACAACTTAAATTCTACCCAACTTGAGTGGCTGCCTCTCCAGCAGCGCATATCCCTGTCTGAGTTTCTTTTCATCCTTCTACTTTATTTATTTCTTCTTCCCATTTTGTTTTGTAATTGAACTGTGTTTTCTTTTCTCTTCTTTCTACCCACAATCTTGCTGCTGAAGGCTGTAAATTTCCCCAGTGTGGGACAAATAAAGGATATCTTATCTTATCTTATCTTAACAGTCAAATATCTCGCTTTTGTAGCATTTCTCGGTTTCCATTTCGTATAGGTCAGTGGTCTCAAACTCACGGCCTGCGGGCCAAATGCGGCCCATAGGATGTAGTGCGAGGCCCGTGCCTTGATATAAAAGTGTAATTATAGCGCGGCACGCGCAAGTTTGATATGTATGCTGTATGTGTTAGCACTACCTCCAGGCGAAATAGTTAGGTCTGTCTCATTCAAAGGCCGACAGCCTTGGGGGCACCCAGACTATAGCAGAAACGTGACAGTGCCCAAGGTGCCCCGCACCAGCTTGAATACACCCGTAAACCACAAATGTAAAAAACCCGCCGCTGCTGCTGTATACACATTTAAACAGATAAACAACACGCCAGTGTGGCTGTTACTGGAGTTGGGTGCTCCGAAGCACCAGACGTTACATGTAAAGAAGAACGGGGAAGAAGAACGTTAAGACGCTAACACGGAGCGAGAACTACTACATACACACAAGCAAAGTTTTATGTGTATGTGTCCGTGTTAGTATTAGCTTCATGCTAGCCACTAGCCAAACTTTTGAAACTTCATTAAATTTTTATTAATGTAATATTAAACGGCCACCACAAACACTTAGTGTGTCCATGGCTTCTTACCTTCAACCAACCACTAACTGTGCCATGCTGGACATCATATGCAGGTGCGTAGGACCCTGAGCCGATCTGGTACCAGCGGAAATTACGTTCTTAGATATGTTCATTTACTTTTTTTTTTCCATCTTATTTTGTGTGGAAAAGAAAACTGGAACCAAAGCACCAAGAAAGTGTAAGGGAGAGCAGAAGCAAAAGCATTGAAGAATATATATCTATATATATATTCGATGCCACATACATGGATCACTGAATGCTTGGAGTTGTATAAGGTGAACAGGACCCTAAGAGCCTTCATTGCAAACTCGATGAGGATGTGGAAAACCACACTTGAAGCCAATGGCAAGCCACTTACCCAAGTGTCCATCAAATGTGGCATATATCAAGGTGATGCACTCTCCCCACTGCTGTTCTGCATAGGACTGAACCCCCTAAGCCAAGTAATCGCCAAAACAGGCTATGGATACTGCCTCAGAAATGGAGCTATGATCAGTCACCTCCTCTACATGGATGACATAAAGCTGTATGCTAAGAGCGAAAGGGACATAGACTCCCTGATCCACACAACCAGGATCTACAGCAGTGACATCAGGATTGCGAAATGTAGTCGGATGGTTAGTCAGATGGTGACTAAGAGAGGCAAGGTAGTCCA